TCCCCTCATGCAAGGGGAGACCATACTTTAAACCACCTGAATCTCCCTTCCCTGTTCCCCAAAACTCTTGCACACCCTTTGCTGCCTCAGTCATGAAGGAAGGGGCCATTAGGTCTTAAATGCCTGTTTCCTTAAGTCATTGTGAGATGTGCTAAAGCAACTAGTATTTAGGTGATAACAATTCTATGCCTTTTTGCACTTTTCCTTGTGTACACCATAGCCTCTATTTCTAATTACATTATATTGCTGAAAATACCTTGTGGTCAATGAGGATCTTTTAAATGTTCGTGCTTTCCTTTCTGTTGCATTTTACATAATACTATGATGTCAAGCGTATGGAAGCACAGCAAAATAAGAGCAAGAAACCTTTTCTGCCACTGTGGAACCATCTTCTATCTCAATGGCTGATTTATATCCTGCCTGAAGTCACTGTCAGACAGAGTCTCTCTCTTCTCTCCCACAGGCTGCTTGCAAAGTCAGAAGTCGGCTGATCATTATCTGCAGCTCTTAAGTCATGATTTCCCTCTTATTTAAAATTCCAATTTTGTGGGGAGTCTGGGGAAACTCCCCTCACTCCTGGGCTTTTTCTTGACCTATTACCCCTGGAAAATGCTTATTTAGTCTGAAAGTTGCCAAATTACAACCCAGCAATAGGAACGCAATAAATAAGTCAAGGGCATCTGTTTTCTTGTGAAGCCCCTTGATGATGCTGTTTCTGAAATGAGTAAAACGAAGCCTCACTGATGGTTTATATGGAAAAATGTTTTTCTTAATGTAGTTTCTTAATGTACTGTGGCTTTTTCTAGATTATAACCTGATTGCATCTTAGGATTGTTTCATGTCTTACTACACTACTAGGTTTAAGATAGCAGAAACAGTTCAGACACATTGCTTATCTGGAGGCATCTTTGATTATTAAAGCCTGTATGGCAATAGAGGAGTTGTGTTTGGAAGCATTCTGCCTTCTCTTTCCAGCCGTTCTGCTCCTTTGGTTGCCTGAACTGTGCTCCTGAGCTATCATCCATGCTGTGTCGCAACAGAAAGCAACATTTATCTTCCATCTCATAACAGTAGCGTGAACATTCAGGATTATTTGCAGAAGTTCATAGAAGACAACAAAACAATGCTGTTTGAACGGGTGCTTGGTGTGCAGCTTGCACTGCAGAGTGTGTGTCCACGGGGATGCTGCAAGTTACAGATCACCAAGGTTGCATCTGTGAGAGATGCCCATGAAAGTCCTGGGAATTTTTAGTTCTAACTGCTGGAGGTTTTCTAGCTGATTGAATTGAAGGTGGGAGACCAATAGGAAAGATGTGAAGGGAGCTATAAGCAGCTGTGGGCAGGTATAGGCTTACCTTTGGGGAAAACAAAATGGAAATAGTAGCTTCTTTGGCTTCAGTATCCCCAGTAGCACCACATGATATTATGTGTGCTGTCGTTTGGTGATGTTAAAGCTTGGTGTGTGTTGAGCTCTGAAGCAAATGCTGTCACTCTTCAGACAACTGTAGAATGCAGCATTGGGGAGAAACGAGTCCGTTGCCTCAGCAAACTCTTGTTTCCTTACTTTTGTGTAAAGCTTGTCCACATGCCTCAGGAGGGTGTTGTGAGGATTAGCCAGATAAGATCAGCTTTCTTGTACAAATACGTGAAACCGCTTTCAATTACCCAGTGTGATTTATGACTGGGAAGCATTTGAATGGCATCCCAGTGCCTTTCCTTCCCATGGAGCATGACATATACCAGACTTGTTCTTACAGGGGTGCAAGAGACTTGGGGTGGAGGGAAACAGTGCACTGGGACGCTTCCAGTCCCTCCAAAAATACCTCCTGAACCAATATTCATTCATATGTCATTAGAGACAGCTTCCTATTAGATCATTAGCACTGCTTAAGGCTTGGGCATGTCCTGCAGCAGGTCATGGAGTTGTGTAGAAACGGGGATAGGGTACTGGAGTACATTTGGCTCTGCCGGTGGGCTTGTGCCTTGATAAGTATCATAGCAGAAACTTGGGCATATAAAGCTGTCCTAGCCAGGTTCTGAAGACAACACCAGATGTTTTGTAATAGCCGTGCTATGAAGTGGATGCCCAAATGAAGAAAATGCTGCTGTAGAACTGCAGGTTTGTGCATGGGTTTCTGTCTGACTGCTGTCAGCAGCAAAACCTAGCAAAGAAAGGGTTGTGTGGTGGCTGGTGTAGCAGGGCTGGGAGAAGTCTCCCTTGGCAAAGAGTGAAACAGCTTCTCAAGTGCCTTTGGGTCACTCCTAGTATATTCTTTAGCATTATTTCATGCTAATGGCGAAAACCATATAGTTGTGGTGGTATGAGGTATGGAATTGGTCTGCATGTTCCCAGCGCTTAACTCTTGTGAGACACATTCCCAAAGAAAGAGGTGCTATGTACGGACTTAATGGTGTTACCTTGCAGTTTGCAGGAAGTAGCCACTCGTGCCCTGCATCGGATATCCAAGGATTTTGTCTTGGAAATCACAAAGCAAATCATGTTTAGAGCCTCCTTTTGCTGGTGTGAGTTGTAGAAGCAAGGCAAGTGCGGAGCTGTGCATACTTGGATACAAGCATGCACCTTGCCACGGACACCAGGACAGGTTTGAATGGCTGGAAGAAGGGCTCTTCCCTAAAATCACATTTGATTATCAATTCCCCATTGTAAATCTATCCCACAATATTATCAACTTATCTGACCTTCTCCTCCTCCTCTCTCTCCCCTGCCCTCTGCCACATCCTCTCCTTCACAGCGTAGCATGACACATCCTGCTAGAGAGCTGCAAGAGAAAGATAATTGAGATATCAGGAAAAGGTGCTTGTTGCAGTCATTAAATAACTCAGTGGATTAGTTTCCTTTAGTTCTCACCTGGCAGTTTCACAATCCTATTGTGAACCAAACTCAAGAGTGAGAGAAGAGGCCCATGAGCATCTGCTTGGTCCCATGGCTGCACAGGGGCTGGCCCAGGGCTGGCTGAAGGGATGTTCAGTCCTGCATGGGACGTCCAGCACTTCCCATAAGGCTGCCATGCATCTTGCAAAGCCTCACGGGGCATTAGTCCCATGGAGGAGATCTGGATATGCCTGTGGGAAGGAAGAGGGCTAAAATACTCAAGGATGGAGCACTACCACGTTTCCTGGACAATAGATCACAGGGGTTTGAGGAGCTCACCGGTGCGAGGAAACACTTTGCATCGGCTCACAGATAACGTGCAATGACAGACAGCAGTGGAGGTGCTTATTTCATGTTGCACAGCTCTGCACTGAATGCTTCAAGCACACAACAATAGTTTCGCTCACGCAGGTTGCAGACCAAGGCATCAGATGAGTAGATAATTTGCACATTTATCTTCTGCAGTTTAGTTTGCTTGGGTTTTCAAATCCTGTGCAAGAGTTTCCTATTACCGTCTTGCAGAAGTGATTTGACTGGAAGCTGTTTGACTGCAGCTGACTCTTGCCAGCTTATATGGGGCAGAACTGAACTTATGATGTATCTTATGCTTGTGCCGTGATTTCACAATTATTGTACCTGCTTCATAAATCTGGTAAAGTAATTTGGGGAGTAAAAGTATTAGACTAAGAATTCTCTTCTTCCTTGTTGAAAGCACAGGTTAGGACAGCTGTCTGCAGTCCTGGGACCTGGAGAATCTGAGATCTGACATCATAGATTCAATAAGATCTATGGAGCATGCAGAAGCATTCTGCTGATGTATCAGAAATGTGGATGATATTTCTTTGCATTAGAATTGAAAAGAAAGGTTCTTTAGGAGAAAGCTGCCTGAGCTGAATGTGGAGTAGAAAGTGTAGGAAGATATGAAAATGAGAGAAAGGAGGAATAGTTGTTTTATTTCTTGGTTTCATCTGCATCAGCATTACCACAGAAATAGTCTTCTGTGTAGTTATTATCTTACCAAATTTAAAGCAGAGACACATCAAGAAATGCATTTGATGTGTTATATAATACAAAAGTTTTATATAGTTGTATCAGATGCATTTTATATAATCTAATTCTGGCTTTTCCCCCAGGCCCATGTTAATGGAGACCTTTAGAATAATAATGTAGTTGATGAGCATTACCATCGTGCTTTTGATCCTAGGAACATGTTCATCCATCAGCATCATACCTCATGCTGAAAAAAGAAAGGGAATAATACACCTGCCTCTGTTCCTGGGGCATGAAAAATCCATACTCCAGTGGAGGTGGCGAAGAAATGACACTGGCATTGAAGACCTTTTAAGATCCTCCATCTCAAAGGCCAGCCCTCTTACAGTGCCTCATCTCTTTTGTTCCTCTTTGAGGCACAAAGGAGGTAGACGAAATTTGACCTTCTTTCACCTGCTTGAGATTTTCCCTTGTGTGAAGAGATCTAAGAAACTACCAGTGAGGCTGGAATAGGTGGCTGAGATAAGCCTCTCCCCTTATATACTGGGTTTTTTTTTCCAGTGCATCTCCCTTTTTGCCTCTTTTGTTTCTGCTGAGCCGAGTGGAGAGGTGATAGAAAACCAAACCGAAACCAAATCTAAGCTCTTGGCAATAGAGAAAGATCTTCAAAGTTAAATACATTCCAAGGAAGAAATGATTGTCCACAACATGTTCCAAATACACAAGCCCATTGAGAACTTGCAGTTAACTCTGGGTATGATCTTGCTGTTGCATGGTAAGAAGTTCATGACTTCTCTACTACTGAATATTTAGAAGAAAGAAAAAAGGTGGCTCTGGGCAGGAAAATCTGCAACCTTGCAAGAAAGAAGTGACTTACTCATGGTGTATAGATGTTGTCAGAAATAAATGTGATGCACAAAGAAAACACAGCATCTCTGAGTCACAAGTCCAGGAGTGTTTCTAGAGCTATAGAGTGGTCAGAGCATGCGTTTGGCTGTAGCATCTCATGTGAGTGAAATTGTTGGACCCGTGCTTTGCAGAAGCATTTTGGTGCCCACTGGCACCAAAATAGGATGTTCAAACCTTTCCCCAAGTACAAAACATATAAAATGAAGAGCTGAATACTTTTGTTGCTCAGGTAAATAGCAGTTTTACTGGTTTAGCAGTTGGTATTTCTACCTTGTATAGTTCAGGTGAACAATAAATACAATAAATAACTTTTCTGTTCCCCTTTCTTATCAAAGAATTATGGGTTTTTTTTTAAGCTGTTTTAAATTATGTATATTGATTTCTTGATAGGTCCTCAGGATTTTAGTCAAAAATTCCTTCACATTTCCTTTGATCTTGTACTGGCATTGAGTCCTGTGCGCCAGGCTCTGTGATGGGAGGAAGAACAAAGATTGGGTTACCAAAGATTCCATAAAAATACAAAGGATTTAGATGAAACAGTTAAAATAGGCATTCTTTGGAGCTAAGCAGAGATGTCAGAAGCAGGTCCTAAAGAACCGTTCCTTGAGCAGTGAGTGGCTTTTTGTGGTGACTAGGGTGACAGCTGTCATAGATATAACTGAGATCATTTCAACGAGGCTGTTTCAACCCAGCAGACAGGGCAGACAGAGCTGTAGGAGAAGCTGGGTAAGGTAAGGGCAATGGGGCTGCTCGGTGTTGCAGTCCCATTCTAACAATATTTCCCCTTGCAAGTTTGAAGCTAGCTAAAAGGAGCTTGCAACACTGCATCATCAGCATCTTCTGTCTCACTGGATTACACAGCAGTTCTGCTCGCTGTAAGTAAAGTGTTTCACTGCCTGAGGAAAGTCATCTGGGGATCCCAGAGTCTTCCTGAGCATCATTACAAATCTGAAGATGCTGCAGGCCACAGCAGTATTTCAAGCCTGAGCATCCCTGAAGGAATTGCAGTTTTGGTAGAATTAATGCTCCAGAAGAGAATGATCCTATGCCTGCTGGTCCCCAGCACATCTACTCTCTGGTTACATATCATTGCTGTTTAGAGTGCAAACACATTTGAGGAAAGAGAATAGAAAAGCAAATTAAATTAAGCTCCTCTCCCAGAGTTCTGTGTTTAAAGGTTCTCATGCTAAAGGGATCTGGAGAAGGGAAATGGCACAGTGGGGCAGAACCCATCTCCCTGCTTCCTCTGCCAATTTTAACAGCTTTCCATCACCTCATACATGTTGCAGCTATCATACCTGGCTCCTGCATAGAACAATTATTTACAATATATTTCAAATTAATCTAATACTCAGCTACACATATTTAAATTATTAAAAAAATCCTTTCTTTTGTAAAAGATAGACAAAGATCTATAGGAAAGTAGGAAACGTCTTACTTTACAGAGCTTTCTGTCCAGTTGAATCTGAAAGCTTAGGTTAAGCCTTTCAACTACTGCATTGGAAGAGATGTTGTGTTTCAGCATGTGTTCAGTTCCTTCCACAAAGCATGGCAGTTCGTGGCCAGGCTGTTACAGGAAGAAAAAAGGGTAAGAATGTGTTTTGTGTATTCCTAAATGTGGCAGCGTGTCACCATCAAATGTGACGTATTCTGTTCTATTCTTCCATTGAAAGCTGGTACATGAACTTTGGGAGGTTTGTAAAACACTGAATCGTCGTGTATGCCTTAAGAAGCTTCTGTCACATCTCTCAGAAACCCTCAAATGGTAACTCTGAAGTATAGTTTCAGCCAAGGCTGGGTTTCACCATACCTTACAAAAGTGAAATTGTGTTAGATACACCTAGAGCTAAGCATCTGAGGCCTGAAATCTCTTTCAGGGTTCACTTAGTCTTTGGCATGTAACCATAAACCAAAGGCTTGCAGAGATTTTCAGAGCAAGAGGCTGCATCTTTTGATTTATGAGTGAAACCCACAAGGCTCTGTTTGGCTGGGCTTGGTTGACTGCACTGATGATGGGCAGACTTCTGCTTCCCTCCCTACTGCTATACATCAAGCTCAGTTTTGCTGCTGCTCATGCTTTAAAGGCTTCCTCATAACGAGAAGCAAAAGCTGTATAAGGAACAGCATGAGCAAAATCAACTCAGTTAATACTGAACTTCCCTAACACCTACAACAGTTTAAAATCAATACTTACCTCAGCAATGGGAAGACAGGAACATGACTGAAAATGAAAAGAGTGAGCGTTAAGACCCAGCATTGGTAGCATTCAGCACACAAATACATTCTCATGGTGTTCTCCAAAGCGGTGTACTCACATTGACAGCTGTCTCCCTACAGGGGCAACTCAGAGGACTTTCCTGCTGAAAGAACAAGTGAGAAGTCAGTATTTGTTGTCACCCGCTGCATAAGCCTGCGCTTTGACAGAGGGAAGGTGCTAAACTTACAAGCAGGAGTTTTGTATGCCGGATGATTTCACGGACGCTGCAGTTCTGTGCTTGCACACAGAGCAGCAAACAAGAGAAGAGGATGTATGGCAGCATGCTGGCGTTCGTGTGCAGCTCAGTCTGGTGGGTGACAGCAGAACAGGAGGACACTCCTTTTAATTGAGTCTTCACAAAATTCCCATTCTAATAGGGAAAAACCCAATCATAAAATTGATACCAGGTGCCCACTGCTTTTTTCCCACTTTGCTTGGACAGCATCAAACGTGGAATTGAGTCACCTACTGCAGTGACTTTGCTTTCGTACAGTGGAAATTCACAGCTGCTCCTCATAAGTGATTAATTTGAGCATTATGATATCACACCCCAACAGGAAACAAGGGTTAGAAAGCTCCAAAAGCTTCTTGTTTTCAAATGTGGGGTTTGTCTCCAGTGCTCCTGTAAATTAGAGTTCCATGAAAGCAAAGAGACGGTTGTGTTCACCATTGCCAAACTTGCTGAGAAAACAAGAGGACAGGCTGGATTCCCCCTGGATTCAAAGCAGGAACTTTCTCAGGGAAGGTTGGTGATGCTGCAGGGCATCTGTTGTGCTGTGCAGAAGTTGTCACACTGAATTACAGCTGCTGCATCCAGACAGCGCTCCCATAATCCTTGGCTGGGATCCCACGTGCACCAATGTGCAGATAAGGATCGGGCCCTCGGAGCAAACACGCACTGCGCTGTCACATTTGGAGCAGAAAGGAGTGGATGCAGTAATAGTCCCAAGTGACCAAGATGGTATTAACTTGGAAGTTCTCTCAGATGGAGTCTCCAAATCAGGTTGAATGCCTCATAGAGCTTTCTCTGGCCACAGACGTTTCCTCTTTTCCAAGTTGCACACCCTAGCACAGCAAGTGGTAACCCTTTTAGACGCTCAGAGCTGACTTTTAAGCTTCCCTGCTGCTATGCCGTAAATAGCTCCAAAAGCTTGAGCCTTCTGCTGGTCAGTCCAGCTGGATGATGAGTGCAATCCCTCTGGAAGCTATCCTGGAAAGAGAAAACATCGAGTTGCAATCTGCTGGGTGTTTTCCCTGGCATTCGCCTACCAGCAAGGGATTCATTTGGTGAGCACAGCCCCACTGCCTGCCTGGACACCAAGGGGAGCGGAGCAAGATCTGCCTGCTGCTCCTCTGCCTGGCTGCTGCACACCCAGCTCCTGGCTGGGGAGGATGCCCCCTGCTCTCACTTTGAAGCTCGTCCTTGGGTGATTTAATGTGGGAAGTGTGCATCCCATTAGGCAGCTACAGCTTTCACACAGGCCTCAGGGAATACCTAGAAGCAGCCAAGGACCCTCGCTTGGCAAGTTAAAGCTGGCAGCTTTCAAAAGGCATATTGTGGGGATGCATGCCACTCCTTGAGCCAGGCAGTGGCATCTTTCAAGGCACTGGGTGATGATTAGAGAAGGGCTAAAATCATTGCTTTGTGATCGAGAGCCTGTGATTCCCAGAAAATCAATGGAGAGGCTTCCAGGATGGGTAGGTCTCCCTTGAGGAAACAGCTTTTTGCTCAAGCGAAGCAATGGGCGTGCTGCTCTCTGTTTATTCAGCCAGTAAAGCCCCTCGGCAAGAGCTGGAACAATGTAGTTCAAAGCATCCATCCCTGAAGGAAATGAATGATGTGAGTAACATTTGCGCTTACAACACTTGGTTTCTCAGATGGTCAAAAACCCAATTTTAGGTGGTTTTAAATAAAAGAATTTGCAAGCATCTTTGATTTAGCCCAAGGTTGTGCAAGGGATATGGCAACAAGCCATGAGGAGACAGGGACAAGGAGCTCTTCATGACAGCCAGGAGGTTTTAAGCAAAATACATTCATTAGAAATCCCATTTAGTGCAGTAACTGCATGTCATTACGTTCACTGGGCAGTGAGCAGCTCAGATAACTTCCACCCAGGCCTATAGCCCGAAAGGATGAGATCCATGTATTTGTTAGGAGTTGAAACTCAGAATGGCAGAGCTGCTCCCCAAGCCTGTGGTTCCTCCCCATAATCTCCGTCTGCCAGCAGTGCCAGTGTTATCTCTACATCTTTCCATATCTGTTTGACTGCATAGTGAGATCCGTCTCACTCTGTTGTTGCTCCAGGGCAAAGAGGTGACAAGAGAAGCTGTATTCCATTCACAGCAGATCAGAAGTTACCAGAAGTCAAACTGGCAGAGAAAGAACTTTCCATGTATTGGTTAGAGCAGCGGTGGATTGGGCACAGAAGAGTGTGATGCTGGTTATGGCTTCTCTTTGGAGAGTTTAGGCTCTATTCATAGAATCATAGAATAGTTAGGGTTGGAAAGGACCCTAGGGTTGGAAAGGATCATCTAGGGCATGGGCAGGGGGGTTGGAACTAGATGATCTTAAGGTCCAGCATTTAGAGACTGATCTAAAGACCATGGAAATTAATATATGCTGCCATTCCAGCAAAAATACCTGCTTTTTTTCATGTAATCTTTAAATATTTAGGTTTGATACTTTAAAAGTCTTCATTTTGATGACCAGTGTGTTAAATGCAACATCCTCATGTTTAGGTATCTGGTCTCCCTCTGTTCCTCTCCCTTAATCTCTCTTCCAGCAACACAGGCCAACATGTAGAGGGGAAATAGAGGTTTTTCAACCATCACTCAAAAAACCAAAACAACGCTTCATATTAGATTCAGTAGCCACATTGCCGTAGGTAAGAAGGTGACTGTGAGTGCACTTCCCTCTGAGGTTGCAAACCCACAAGCCTCAAAAGGCCGGCTGTCAAAGTGGGGAGCCACCAATGCTAAATCTGGTCTTTCTGAGGCTTTTTGCTCCCTTTTAAGAATTCTGGCTGAAAAAAATCAAACCAGAACTGAAACCTTAATAAAGGTCACCAAGCTCGAAAGCAGTGTGTGCAACAGCACGTGAGAACATCCCCTATATTGCCATTGGGAAACCTGAGTGGGGATATTCACTGTGGTCAGCCTGAGGCGGCATATCATATATCCCCGTACTTCATATCTCTTCCCTGCACACTAATGGCTATAGTAGATGATCAGAGTAAGGAAGGGGCAGAGAGCTCCATCATCCTGGGTGCTGCCAGTGCATCGCATCAGCTTAATGTGCCTGGTGACTCTTGAGTGACCAGATTGTAAGACTCCAGCCAAGAACAGGTATTTGTTGCAGGAATAGTGACAGGACAAGGGGTAGTGGCTTCAAGGTGAAATACAGTAGTTTTAGATTAGATCTTAGGCAGAAGCTCTTCCCTGTGAGGGTGCTTGGAGCAAGCTGCTCTAGTGGAAGGTGTCCCTGCCCGTGGCAGGGGATGGAACCAGATGAGCTTTAAGGTCCTTTCTAACCCAAACAGGCTGGGATCCTATGATTTGGAAAGGATGGACACACGGAACTCTCCCAATATGTTCCTATGATCTCTTACAAATAATTCCCTCTGGTGCCTTTGGAAATCTTCATCTAATGTCCTGTCCATTCCTGGTCGATATGTAAATACTTTAGCATATATTCTCTTTCCATGCACCTATTTTAAAGCCAGGCTGACTGACCAAATATGCTGCACAAACATCCAAATTCCAAATCACTGTTTTGACCTGATATTTGACCTCCCGGTTTTCTGAGTGCCAGAAGAGAATTTACACCCCACTGCAGCATTTCCAAGAAACTCTGAACAGTTCTGGGGCGTTTTAATATAGAAAAAAGGAAACGTTCCCTGTAAAGGAAAAACAAGATAATGTACGGGCTTGTTTTACTGATCAAGATCTCACAGAGACCGCAAACAAAGAGGTGCTATCGATAGTTTCATTTTCCAGAGATAAGGTGGCTTGGAGTATAGTTTTCCCTTTCTTTTAGATAAAGATGACATATGCTAGTGTAGAAATAAAGGAAAATAAGGTCATTCTAATTCCTCCACAAAAGGGTAAACCATAGCATAGTAATAGCACAACTGCCTATGACAGAAAGGTGTGTAAAATCCAGATGAGCTCAGGGAGCATGTGACAGGTTGAAGAGGGCATTGGCACCTCCTGATAGCCACACACAGATGGACCACAGGATGTCCTCAGGACTCACCTTAGCTTCTGTAGGTAATGGGGTTCCATTCCTTTCAGAAGAGTTTAAATTTGGTTTTAAACCATTTGAACTGACTAACCACAACTAGTGGTGCTCAGGAGCAGCGAGATGGGGGAGCACACCTCAGAGGGACCTTCAGGGTCATCCTTGTTTCATGCTGTAGTACAGTCGCCGGAGCTCTCCTGAGCTCCTGACAGGGAAGCCAAGCTTTCCATGCTGCAATGATATTTAGCAAGAGCTGAGGCATCTAAAAGCAAAAAAAGCCCTGAGAGCAGCATGCCCATGCTGGGCATTGCCCATATTTCAAGTGCATCTCACAACCGACAGTACCCAGAACTAAGCAGGAAAAAGCAGGAATTTTCCACAAAGATCACCAGTTCTTTTGTATGTAAAGGTTTTCCTGATGCCGTTGCTCTCAGTTCAGGATCCTCTTTCACACCAGGAAAGAGAAGCATTGCAGAGCACTCAGATCATAAATCCACTCACCCTTCCTTGCTTGTCCCACTGTGAGATGACCCTGGGTGCTGGATTTCCCTCTCAGCACAGCATGCAGAGGAAGGCAGAACATGCAGAACAGACAGACAGCACAAGGCATTCGCTCTGTGGCTGCTTTAGAGCCCTCCACCAGCCAGATTTCCATTGCAGCTTGCTTTTCATGCTGGAAGCATTGAAAACCACTGCCGACTGCTTGATTGAAACACAGTGATCTCAATTAAATAATGAAGTAAGCACGGGTGTTGGTTCACACATAGCTGCATGAGTAAGAATAGCCTGGCCCTCTTACGTAAGAGTTGGCAGGATTTCCTATACTAGATACAAAGTAGGCTACCTTAGTGCTAGAATGTTTTGAAACATGGAAGAATAGACCATGAGCTGGTCCATGGAGATAAGCTATGTAGGTCCTATTGCTTTTACAGCAGGCATTTCTATATCTTACCATGAAACCTCATATGGGACCTCTGAGACCCCCTTAAAAAGATGTTCTCCTTCTGCTGCATATATGGCTCTTAACGGGTTGTTTGTCCCACTAGTGTCTGATCTTAGAACTACTGCAGGATCTCCAGTGTAAGAAAAATCAGTGTAACTGCTTAAATTTCCCCTCACTGCATGGCTTAATTCCTTGTGAAGCCTATCTCTAGAATGTTACTTTACATACTACTTAATCCAGGCTGGCAGTGATCAGTCTGTACTCTATAGGAGCATATATAAGAAGAAGATGGCTTTAGAGAAAGGAAGCTGTTCTTGTGCACTTTTATATTCAATTTAGCATCTTCTTCCCACTCCTCTCTTTGAATCTCATCATTTCTTCTGACTCTACCTTTTTCTTTATGGGCACAAGACAGCGTTGGCCTTCTTGTTTTGCATGAATGCAGTGCCTAGAGACAAGTCTCTACTATAACAACCTCTACAACAAAGCAAAGAACTTCAGATAAACCAAGGAGCTGTAACGTATCTTAGTGCCTGCAAAGACATCACCTACTCCTGTGTCTCAAGTACAACGGGAAAAGAGAAAATGACATGGGAGTTGTGATCTCACCTTCCCAAGGTGTTGGCACATCAGGAAGGGACTCCTGAGGCATGAGAATATCCCAGCCTGGCCAGGAGCAATCACAGGGATGGCTTCAGCAGGCACTAAAACCACTGGGGTGCCCTGGGAGAAGGACATTATAGGTACCCAGCAACAGGGATGCAGGGGGATACACAACCTTCTCCTTGCCCCCTGGCCAAAGGCAGCCCCATCCTGCTCCCACTTTGTGAGCATCACGAAGCTTCTCCCACCACCAGAGACCTTCCTCTGGGTCAGGGATTTTCACCAGAAAATTGGTTTCTGTTTGCTTTGCTTTCTTCACATGAGGAAATAAACCACTGTTACCTTTACTCCCTACCATAGCATTACATAGTATATAAACTGGAAAAACAGCTAGACAGCCAGCATCTCATTAAGTTATACGAGGTGTCGTAAGAGCTGGAACACCACCAGCAGCGTGAAAGTCAGGCAGTTACAGGTTTATGTGAGGCATGACAGGTCTGAGTATGCTTTCATATTGCAGGCAAGAAGGGCATAGAAGTGGGTATCCTGGTTCTTCTGGTCTGCCTAATCAGTTTTTATCTATTCCAGGAGTCACTGCATTTAATGTTAGAAATGTGGGGCTCTGAGCATCTGTGAACAAGCCATCAAGCAGATAGATTCTCGCACTCCATTGTGCATGGTGCTGGGGAATGCACCACAAAGGGCAGGTCCCTGCAGCCACTGACAGAAGGTTGGGTCCATATCCTGAATTCCATTGATACCAGGGATTTTTTTGTGTAATGCAATGACAAAATCACCAGCATATGCAATCAGTGCCCTGCACGAGGGATCTGAATCAGCTGTATTTATGGCTGTTTGCCTGCCAGGCAAAGCAGTGTTTAAAACCCCATCACCAGGTCCCCAAAGAGGATTCCTTAAAACTCCTAATTTCTATCCCTAGATAATGATATTAGTATCATCGCTACAAATTAATGTATTTGATATATCGTAAAGAAAACCATTGACAAAACACCCACCTGCCAAGTCTCTGTGTGCATAAATTGTAATGCCTCATCTTCGAGGCATGGGGTGACCCCCTGCAGCAACACCCAGCCCCACCGCAGGATCTCTGTCCTCAGTGACACAGCCGTACACTCACTGCTTCAAAAGCAAGAGTAAGATATTCGTCCGCGTGCTGGGATCCCCCGTGATCCATCACAGCGATGAGTACAACCATACCCCAAAAGCTGCTCATCCCAACCCTGCTGTTCCTGGCCCAGCATCAGCCCAACCTCCTGCGAGGCTGCTGTCACCCTCCAATCCAAGGGGAATACACTAGGGAAGCTATTGGCAGGGCTGGATCACCCCAAAATCACCTGCGCGGTGCCCACTGCGGGGCTGCCTATTGAGAGGGGAGCGTGTGATGCTCTGACAGCAAAAGGACCTGGCGTTGAATGAAGACAAGACGGCAGCAGCACACGGCCATGCTCTGCCATGAGCGAGGTTGCCATCATGTGGCCAAAGCTTTGTATTCACTTTCCAATCACTTTCCATGTCTTTATGTTTTCCCTCCCCATGGCGGGGGGGGGGCTGGAACTGGATGACCTTTAGGGCGCCTTCCAACCCAAACCATTCTATGAATCTATGACTCTAAATCCTGAGCATCCATCTCAAAACTGGTTTAACTGGATGAAGAAATCAGGAAAACTCACCATACAGCTCCAACGTGGGGCTTAGGGCTTTACATCTCGGGGAGCACTGGGCAGACCAAACCTGGGCACTGAGAGGGCAGGATCATTCACATACACACCTTGTTGCAAACCTCATCAGTTTAATGAATTCATTCTACTTTATGGTGTATATAATGTATAATGTGGGCAGATTAGCACCACCACTTACTTGCATTGAAAAACAAACCTCTCCCAAGTATTATCCTTGGAGACATATTGTGCATCTAAAGAACATGTTTTACATCCATGTGCGTTAAAACAGGTAACATGGAATAGATGAAACCTTAAATGCAGCCAGCAACAAATTCTTTTGTGAAGGTTCATTAATTTTACCCATATTGTTTGTCAGTTCATGTTGTCAAGCTCAAAGGCATCGTGCGCCTCCTCGCCTGCATGTCCTGAGATGAAGCAACACCGGCTCTTTCTCCCACATTTAAGGCCAGTTTTGGGGGAGGCCACGCTTCTGGTTTTAATTCAGGCCCCAGTAAAGAGGAGCCCAAGGTTGGGAACCCCCTTTATGAGTAATGCTCAGAAACCTGAGGTTTTAGGCACTTTCTGCTGAGGTCTTCAAGTCTTGTCACCAATTCCTCCATTCACCCAGGGAAGAGGATACAGGAGTTTCTTTTTCCTTCTCCTCCATAAAGGGGGAAACCTGGACGGCTGCTCCAGGTTGTCTTCAGAAGCTTTTCTTGATGGCGTCTGCTAAACCCATCATTGTGGGACTTTTCCCCTGGAGCTCTTCTCCAAGAGAAGACATGGGGAACCATTCAGTGCTGTCCCTGAATGGTCCTGATGCCACATGTCCCTCTGCATGTGAGGCTGTTCTCAGCCTCTCCTGCCAATGCCACTAGAGTCCTTTTATCCCAGCAGAGATGGTTCTTCTTGGGTTTCGGCACCAGAAGCTCCATGCTTAGAAAAGAAAGCATGGAGACACTGAACAGCATAAACAGAAATAGCCACAACATAAAAGACCCTAGAATAGTTGAAAAGCTGAGGTAGACCAAAGAGAGACCTGGGGCTGCCCCAGCTGTCTCAGTAGGATTGCAGCAAAGAGCTGGACGTCTGAAGCTGGCCTGTGTATTGTAGAGAACAGTTTGGGATAAGCTCTGCATCCCTCAGAGACCTCCTTTGGTGCTGCAAAGGGATGCCTGCAGGGTTTGGCAGCTGGCAGGTTGGATTGTTGTGTCAGGAAGATCAGGTCTAACAAGTCACCTCTAGCAGGTCCCTGGAGGGCTACACAAGATGAGTTAGGTAAAGCAATAGCCAGCCATTTATATGACTTGGTTTATTGTTTTCTGAAGAAAAAGAGCAGCTGAGCCTCTAATTTAACATCCTTCCTTTTCCCAATTCAATTTATACCTTAGAAAACAGAGAGGTTGTTGAAGCCCTTCACATTTTTTCCATGATAATGTGTTAAATTGTGGCAAACGGGAGAGTTCTGTGTCCATTCGTATGGGTAGAGTCATCCATTCTTTTGATCCTGAAAGCAAGCCAGGATTTGGTGGGAATCCAGCCCTTCCTGGACCAAAGGGCCCTGCACACCCACCTCACCTCCTCCTTTCCTTGCTCACAAAGAGGAGCATTATATACAATGTCATACAAATGATGCTCCGTGGCTGATGTTGGTGGGTTGGTTTGGGTGTATCTCACTTGTGGGTAAGGGAAGCAAGTTGTTCTCTTGGCTCAATAGGAAAATGTCACTGGTGATAAAGCCCAACACCACCGTGGGGATTATGAAGGTGCTCTGAGACAACAGAGGGAAAGATGTGATAAGAAAACAGTCTTTGGATTTGATGGAGCTGGTGCAGTTTTCAGTGTCCTCCAGGGACTAAGTCCATGGCAGAAGAGAAAGCAGATGCTGTCGGTGCAGGATGAGAATCTTCGGTCAGAGCAGCTGATCCCTCTCCAACACCACACTGCTGGTTTGGCTCAGGACAGTAGGAGGATTCCAGGTGTTCCCAGCAACACTTTTGGAATAAGAAAGAAGGAGGTTTATGAAGTACTGCAGGAAAGAGCAAAGACTGCCGAGAATGAGTATTAAACTGTTAAAAAGGGTCTTTAATTGGATATTTTTAATGCTGCTCCTTTACGCAACCCTAGGTTTATGAGGGAAAGAGTAAAACTGTGAGTTGGTGGTCAAGACACTTCAAAAGGGCTTAATTTCAGGTCTTTATGGGAGGCTCAAGGGAGGAATTGATACCGTGCAGGGACTTAGGTGAGAATCATATTTCACAACTTATAAAACATTAGAGAATATTTTCCTTTCAAATTCTCTTTTGTGATTTAGACCGATGAAAACAATCACAAGAATCAGTGAAATTCCAGGAGTCTGGAATAAAACCTAAATCCATTGTCTGCTCCACATCCCACAGACCCAGGTTTGAAAAGCAACTATTCAGATGTAGGTTACCTGTCTTCCAGAGGATCTATACAATTGCAAGTCCATTTGATTCAAAGATGAATTCTCTAATCAAGCTAAAGGGTCTTTATGTGCTGACCTGGAAGTTAAGGATTGGTCTCAGTTTGGTCTCTTTTCATTGCTTTGAGGGAAAGTTCATAGCCAAGAAACATGGCTGAACACATTGGGAATCCTCGCACTGCATTGACCGTGATGCCCCTAAAAAAGACCTGTTGGGGATGGAAAAAGGTTAGAGCATAGGAATATATGGGGTCTTTTAAGAAGAAGAAAACAGTGAATGAAGTCATAGTGGGATTCTGAAGAACCAGAATCCACTCTTGCTGCTGGTCGTTGCTGAAGTCTGTGCTGGAGAATGGAAAAGTAATGGCAAAAGTCACTGGTATCACTGAGCTCTGTGCTCCCATCTGTATCTGCCCAGAGGAGGTACAAGAAGTAAAGGGTAAAAAACATCCTTGTGTAGAGCAGAAAGCAAGAAACCCAAAATGTGTTCCAGTGTTGTCCTACCTAGCTACAGCCCCTTCTTCCCTTGGCACAGATGAGTCCATTGGGATCATACAAACCCTGCGGTACAAGGAGGCTGTTGGTTTCATGCAGCAAATGCTGTTTCCCAGGGCTGGGTCTGTGGTTGCAGAGGAAAACCAGGTTTACTTTGTACCGTGCTCAGAACCGCCTCTCACCACCAGCTTTGGGGAAAATACTTGATGAAAGCTGGTATTTTCACATAAGGGTTCCTAAAAGCCAAGCTTTGGTGCCAGCATTTTCTTTCATTAAGATAGCAAATACCTGCAGCCAGTCTTCCTCATTCTGCTCATATACTGGTTTTGAAAAGATGCTGGCACTTACAAGAGTGAAAGACCCTGTGGCTTTTGGGTGCTTGAACAGCAAAGTGCTTTGTGGAGAGTGGAGAGGGGCCCTTGTTGCTCCTGTTTACAAGACAAGGGTTGCAGGGGGCATCTCTGCTGGCCTGTTTCTCACAGAACCCCTGCTTTAACCACCCAGGCGCATCGCTGCGGTCACTAATCTAAACACCACGTCTTCAAAATGGACTTGAAAAGTCACATCGGCCAAGCCAGCCCCCTTCCAGGCTTTACAAAGGCAAAGCTCCCGTGGCTGCTGTACGGAAGCATGGAATATCTCAGCTCCAAGAACAAAAGCCCATAGATTAAAGTGTCTCGTGAGCATTTCCCTTGAAATACTGAGCTCTGCTAAACACCACCGTATCTTGTATCCAGTAAATCCAGTGCGTGGTGCTGCCTTGCACAAGGCAGAATTCAAGTACGTTCGCATAGCTTAGGGTGGAGTTTGCTAACATGAAATTGCAATATTGGGATATTTAGGATATTATTGATTTATTGGGGTGGTTTATTTTGTTAAGAAAATAGAATTGTCTGGGAGGAAATTCCATTTTCTTGTGCAGTATCCAAGCAGTAACACAAAAGAGCCAAGTTAAATGAGGATTTATGAAGGAAAGCCCAGAGTCATAAGCTTTTCTCTTCAGAATGAACACACCTGACTATGCAGAAAGAAGAGAACTGTGCTGACTTGGTTGTGTGTATACAGGCAATTACTTCCAGCACTGTGAATGCTGTTCCTTTGTCCCCAGATGAAAACATCCAAACCTGAGTTTGCCATTTGCCAGTTGTGTGTCTCCTTACAAGAGAAGGATCCAGTCTTATCACCAACTGCTATGCAGGCCTGTTGCCAGCTTTAGTCTGCGTGCCAGGCATGACAGCAACAAAACTGCAACCAGCGTGGACCTCCAACAAAAACAACTGAGTGTGCCTGACTGACTTGTTAATATTCAGGCAGGACAAGGCAGGTAGGGGATGAGGATGGAAAGAGAAGGGAAAACACAGGGAAATTCCCTTTTCAAACACGCTCTGTTTTACTGTGAAGCCACATGCCAAAGTGAACACGCAGGGCAGGCAGCCTGCATAGAGCCTGACCCTCCAAGCACAGTCTTTAGCATCTCTCCAGGTACTTGTACTTCATAGCAAAGTGGCTTTCTTCATTTACCAGCAAAACCCAAACCAGACTGCAGGCCCAGTGTCAGCTGGCATAACATCGTGGCATGTTGGCAGATACTGAAATCACAGCGGCTTGTGATTTTGGAGCTTAGTTTTCTTTCTGTAACCTGTTACTTTGCCCTCCGAATGTGAAAATTAGCACTTTGGAGCCAAGAGCCCACGTGATGTTTTGGTGGCAGCTTAAGTAGAGATTTATTTCAATATCAGGAGACATCACTTCTCGTAGCCATGCACTGGCAACGCAATAAAGCTGCAGACCCTGGTTCTTTGCCATCCACCTTTAGCTGAGGCAAAGCTTGCAGGCAGAACAAACACCTTTTATTACACTAAGAGACAAAGTCAGAAGGACATGAGCTTGGTTTTGGCACACAGCCCTTCTTCACGTTGGAAACCAAAGCAATTCTGATTTAAGAGCATTTTCAACCAGCTCTATCTTGGTGCAAAATGAGGGCGGGCATTGCAACAGGCAGCATCAGCGCCACCAAAGCATTACCCAGGGTGCCACTGGAATGATTGCCCATTGATTCCAGTGTCAATGGGAAACATTTGACCTCTGCATTTTATAAAAGCAATCACAGAGGTGAGATTTTCAACCTCTGATTTATAATGTCAAATCATACTCACATTTAAATGCACTGACATGAAGTGTTATTGTAAGTTAATTACACCAGCAGACTGTGACCCCCAGTCATTCATTTTTCCATTGCTGTAAGGCACATTATTACTCTATTGGGATATAAAAGAATCTCCACTATAATTACCTACTGTCATTATTATAATCACAGTAATGGGCTTTAGCTGCCTCTCAGCCCTGCAGAGAGGTTTGAAACATCCATTGTACTTTCCAATTAAAATTAAATGCCTAATACCCAGGCTTCACTTCAAATATCACTTACTTTTAAGCCCTCGTTCTGGTAGCTCTGCAAGATGCAGTCAAGGGTCCCTTTGTACTTGCTCAAATAAACTCCATCAGCCTGAAGCCGACTTTTCACAACGTCCATTGGAGTAGCAGTCCCCCAGGAAATGGCTCCTAGAAAAATGCAGAAGTATTTGAACAGTTCCTTCTCTCTATTTCCTTGGTTACAGTCAGTGAACTCCGACCTTCACCTCTCCTCTACCCCATTGTATTCATGGGGTTTTCACTGCAGGGCATTCAGCCTGCTCAGGTGCAGGAATGGTATTTCTAGGAGCAAAGCTCCCTGTTTCTGTATGGAGCACTGAGGTGTTGGGGGTGATGCTGGTAATCCAATGCAGGCAGTCCAAGGGTGTCCTCCATGATGCAAATCTTCTGCTGTGCTTTTGGTAGAGCGTAGACATGTTGTGGGAAAAGCTCAAGCTGCAGAAAACCTGGAATCCTCAGAGAATACTGTTGAAAACCAAGGTTTGAGCTGAGAAAACAAGAGACAGCTCCATCGCATGTAGGCAGGATTACACCCAACACAGCTGAGCTACCTCATCATTCTTATAAGGGAACAGGCCATTTACATTAATTAGCCTGCAGCTGAGTGGGATTTTTTGCCTGACAAGGTCAGCAAGCAACCCCAATGCATGGCTGTTGGACAGACAAGAGTTTGTATGGACCAATATGAGTGTTGGGGTATGATGGAGAACTGCCCAGATGGGTCAGGGCTCTGTTTAGTTGCAGGAGAAACAGAGATGGCATTTTGTGCTCATTACCTGAGCTAAAGATTGACTTTCCTTTAGGGGTCTGTGATTAGAAATAGCCAAGAAACGGGGAGTGGGTGCAGGGGTGGCTTTATACATGGGAGCGCGATGAGAGATGTACGTCAGTCCTACTGCGGGTGTACACAGGGAAGAATAAGAAGATTAATAACAGCCAGCTCTGCTTCTGCTGCCTGTGGGTAGGGCGCACACCCTCCTGGTGGGGAGCCAACAGGTTGAAGTCCTCTTCTGGAGGCATCTTGGCTGCCTGGGGATCACTGGCAGTGTGATGTGCAGGCTGCCGTGGGACATCCAGGGAGATGAAGGTGCTGGCTGTGCTCCTTCTCGCTGACATTGAGCCTGATGAAAGTCTGATAACACAACTTCCATAAGGCTTGCCAAGTCATAAAGAGCAGCTGTGGTGCCAGGAGATCTGGCCCTAGGGGAAGGAGCTTCCTCATCCCCATGTCCTCTCCTGGTGACCCTATAATCTCCCCTTGGAACCTTCCCATCCTTGTTTCGCCAGTGTTGAGGGAAACAAAGGTGCTTACCTGCTACTCCCCCTGCCAGCCAGATGGAGGAGGGATTAGGGGAAATGCATCCATCAGGGGTAATCCAGCCACAGAAGATTGTGTAAGGGATGAAATAGAGGCAGTACCCAGGAACATCCCTCAAAAGCATTGCTCCTGCGCCTCGGTATATTCCTGCTATCCCCTCTTTCTGTAGGACTGTCTTGATGCAGTGAATTGGACCTCGATACACAGGAAATCCAGGAACTGTGGGCTTTAGTTTCATGTTTGCTGCAAAACAAAGAGATACAACTATTATAATAAACATATTGCTACAGAACTGCTCTCAAAAGCCCACCATCATTGATGAGAAATCACTGCCATCCATTTCTTTCCCCTGGATCATTACATAGTGGGTGGGGAAAAGGTTTAAGAAAGGGAATGCAGAAGGAAGCATTTTTAGCTCGATTCATAGAATCACAGAATGGTTTGGGTTGAAGGCATTACAGATCACTCATTCCAATCCCCTGCCACGGACAGGGACACCTTCCACTAGAGCAGGTTGCTCCAAGCCCCTGTGTCCAACCTGGCCTTGAACACTGCCAGGGATGGGGCAGCCACAGCTCCTCTAGGCTTCCTAATAACCTAATCTAAATCTTCACTTTCAGCTTAAAGCCACCCCTCCTTGTCCTGTCACTACATATCCTTATAAAGAGCCCCTTTCCAGATTTCTTATAGCCCCTTTAGGCACTGGAGCTGCTCTAAGGTGTCCCAGAGCTTTCTCTTCTCCAGGCTGAACCAGCCCAGCTCTCTCAGCCTGTCTTCAGAGGTGTTCCAGCTTTCTGATCATCTTCATAGCCCTCCATTGCAGTGGTACGAGGCAGCAGGGAGCCAGGCCTTGAAGCAAAGCTGTCCTAAAGCTCCCAGTGAACACCAAGGACTGGCAGAGAAAGGAAGAAGATGCTCTTTCTCCCTACCTTGGATGTACGGCTGCGTTTGCATCTGGAGCCTTATCTTTACCAGGTCCACAGGAGTGCCGATACCCACGGAGATGAACCCAGCCACCATGCTGGCCAGAGCCACGTCGGCGAGCACCGGTGTGCTATCCGGGTCTCCGTGCCGGAGCTGGCTGAGGAGCCGCTGCGTGTTGCTGAAGACACCGAACACCACGGAGCTGTAGACAGCCATGGTGGCCAGAGGGAAGGACATGCCTTTGAAGAAGCCAACCACCTACCCAGGGAAGGGAGCCGGAGTTAGGAGGGTGAATGGGACTGAGCAGCGCAAACCCAGCTTGTCTGTGAGGGTAGAGATGCAAATCCAAGCAGCAGATGTCTCCTGAACCAATCGTCTGCACAGGGAAATGAACTGATACTGCTAAAGGCTTGTCAGGATTGTGCAGGGTACAGGATATGCTGGAAGCACAGGGACCCATGTGAAAGTCCCTGTTATGGACAGCTTCTGTCCTAGCATCACCAGACTCAGCAAAATACCTCCAGTAGAGCTTTCCCAGCAGGCACATGCAAAAGAGCCACTGTGGATGTAACACCCTGACCCATGTGAGGACATTTATCCCTCCATGCCAGGGATCTGTCTTTTCCCTGTAGAAGTACCCAGGAGCATTGCCTAGAGTTAAGCAAGAGAAGAATGTAGGGATTTACAGGCTTAACTGCATTGACTTGATTGATTTTCATATAACTGCTGGTGTCAACAGTGGTTTTGTATAATTGCTTTATGTGTTTAGCAATTGATCCATTGATCTATTTGCATTTTCAGTAAGATAAAGTACTTACAGACTCATTTCTGTACACAGTGAGAACACAACTGAGTGTATTTCCATAGCCTTGCCCAGCTTGCAAACGAGTCTGCAAAAGACATCCATAAAATGTGATTAAAATCCCATGCTTCCAGCCCAGGGAAACTCATGCTACACAAACAATGTGATTTTTGCTTTGAGAGCAAATCATAGAATCACAGAATAGTTAGGGTTGGAAAGGACCTTAAGATCATCCAGTTCCAACCCCCCTGCCAAGGGCAGGGACACCTCACACTAAACCATCTCACCCAAGGCTTCGTCCAACCTGGTCTTGAACACTGCCAGGGATGGAGCATTCACAGCCTCCCTGGGCAACCCATTCCAGTGCCTCAGCACCCTAACAGGAAAGAATTTCCTCCTTAGATCCAATCTAAACTTCCCCTGTTTAAGTTTTAATCCGTTACCCCTTGTCCTGTCACTCCAGTCCCTAATGAAGAGTCCCTCCCCAGCATCCCTATAGGCCCCCTTCAGATACTGGAAGGCTGCTCTGAGGTCTCCACGCAGCCTTCTCTTCTCCAGGCTGAACAGCCCCAACTTCCTCACCCTGTCTTCATACGGGAGATGCTCCAGTCCCTGATCATCCTCGTGGCCTCCTCTGGACTTGTTCCAACAGTTCCATGTCCTTTTTATGTTGAGGACACCAGAACTGCACACAATGCTCCAGGTGAGGTCTCACAGGAACAGAGCAGAGGGGCAGGATCACCTCCTTCGACCTGCTGGTCACTCTGCTTTTGATGCAGCCCAGGATACGGTTGCTTTCTGGGCTGCGAGCACACACTGAAGCCAGCTCATGTTCATTTTCTCATCAACCAACACCCCCAGGTCCTTCTCCGCAGGGCTGCTCTGAATCTCTTCTCTGCCCAACCTGTAGCTGTGCCTGGGATTGCTCCAACCCAGGTGTAGGACCTTGCACTTAGTTGTAAAGAAAACAGAGTGATAAAACAAGATAGATGTGCATCCACAGGGCTCAACAGGACCGCAGAGGTCCGAAGCATTCTGCAACATCTGGAATCGGTGACTGTCAAATTGCGCTCCAGTGCAGACCAGCTACCTTGGCCCAGGACAGCAGACTGGTGTGCGGTGCTCTCCTTGGCAGGGTCCTGATCTATGTGGAAATTGGAGAGTGATGTGGTCCTCTCCATCTGGGGACTGTTAGTGGAGGCTGGGATGTATTCTTAAGGCATCCATCTAAAGGTGTTCTAAAGGAGAGGCGTGCTCCCCTGGCAGGCTTTCAGGGTCCTTCTGATCTAAGGTAGATCTTAAGACATACATATACTAAATGGAGCTGAAACAATTCAGCTCTGTCTCAGGAATTGTCCATGCTTCACTTAAAAGTACATTTTTACATCATTTCCCACAAATGTTCCTGGAAAGCAATGGTTACACACCTTCCAAACAATGCCTACAGCAGCTGGGTGAAATGGTGCAGCAGTCACGACAAAGCCTGTATGGTTCCACATGCTTTCCCCTTCTCACATATATCATATAATCATCACAGAGTGGTTTGGCTTGGAAGGGACCTTAGAGCTCATTCCGCTCCAACCCCTGCCACGGGCAGGGACACCTTCCACTAGAGCAGCTTGCTCCAAGCCTCTGTGTCCAACCTGGCCTTGAGCACTGGGATTCTATGACCAGCACCATCACCCTGCAAGCGCCTGCCCAGTGGGGTGCTGCGGTGGGACCACGCTAACAGGGTCACCTCTCGCTGTTCCATGCTGCTGTCTGAACAGGCTGAGGACCGCTGCTCTGCTCCAGGCTTAGCCACAGGCCATGGGGAAGGCAGCAGCAAAAGCAGAGTATTTACCGAGCCCTCACAAACAAGCTGGTGCTCATGCAGTGCACAGTGCACAACCCCAGCAGGCCCGGGCCATGGGGGCAGACCAGTGCCATGAATCACACCAGGGGTGATGGAGATAGGGGAGAACCACTGGGGAGTCTGCCTGCACCCTGAGCAGGACAGGACAGGGCAGCCACAGTGCACAGCCCTGCCTTCCCTCTTGGCTTCATCTGAATGCTTAGCCCAGACATTTCCATTCTGCCTCCATGGGCTTGTTGTTTTTTCTTTTACACAGTAACCAGGTATTTAGAGGTTCAGGTTAATGCATTTTTTGAGTAACTGAGGGAAACGGAGTGTCCTCACAAACTGCTCCTCGCACACATGCCCCCCCGCCAAGCTGTTAACACCTGGCACTGAAATCCCTGCTGGCATCTCCCTCAAAGTCAGTTGATACCAGCATGGATATTCCACAGGAAAATCCTCCTTTTTGGTGTGTTTTGATTAGAAAGGGCTCCGGGGTGGTGCCCAGAAACTGCAGAAGGTTCCTGGGGAAATGAATGCAATGTGGAGGATGAAAAGGGAGTACATGTAAAACTATTCAGTGTGGCAAGGCTGTGGGAAAAAGCAGCTGCTTGGATTTGATGGAGGCTGCGATATGGGGAAGGGGCCAGCTGAAGGAGGAGACCTGCTGGATGGGAACCCTGGTGCGGGTACCCCATACCCCATCCCACTGCCTCCTCTTCCAGGTGGGGAAGGACACCCCCCCCCCCATCCCCTGGATGCTGCAAATGCTGCTGAGCTGCCCCATTGCTGGCTTAGTGCTGTGTAAAACACTCTCCTTTCCACCTCCCTTCCCCTAAATTTGGAAAGGCAACAAGTCTGCCTGCTTGGTATTCCCAAGCAACAGAGGTGTCAGCCTGGCACTTGTCTTTATAAGCGCTGAAGGATGGGCTCGTTCTTTCTTGGCATCCAGAAACTCGGTGCTTCCCAGCAGGATCCTCTCTCAGTAGCTGCCAAACTCCCCCAAGCCTGGCAATGATGCCCTGACCTCCAGCCTGAGGTGGAATTGCCTTGGCAACCCCCAGCAGAGCCAGCCTGTGCTGCCCATGCCCATTGCTGGGGTGGCACAGGCAGCCTCATGGCTCCGCTGTGTGGGGTCTGCATCCATCCTCACATGGCAGTGCTCCTGGGACTGATACCCCCTTAGCAGCTTAGGAAGGATAGGGATGGCAACCATCTCCTGATCCCAGGGTGCGTGCAACAGGGCAGCTGTGATGGCTTGGGAAGGGATGTGGCGTAGCTCTGCACTGGTCCACCCTCCCCATCGCCCTCCAAGGGTCTCTAAGGTGCAAACGGGAGCACTGGCCCTTGGGTTTGCCACATCTGACAGCCCTGCCTGAGGCCAGCAACAAGGCTGGAGCCAGAGCAGAGCCCACGGGCAGAGCAGTGGAAGGAACAAAAGGACTCAGAGCTGTCTATCACACTGTACAGAAAGAGAAAGGAATGGGTTCTTCCTCTGTCTCTGCATCAGTGGGGTAAATCAGCTTGGTTGGGTCAGGCTGTACTGTCTGCATCATGCTAGCAAATATCTTTTTACGTGTCTAAATCATTCCCTCTGTGAACAGCTGTCTTGCAGGAATAGTAAATACCATGTCTCATAGCACTGGGATAACAACTTCAGCACTCTGCCCTCCCAGCATTGCCAGCACTAGGAGAACATGTAAAAATGTGCCTGCAGCAAAACAAATATAGTTCCCCCGTTGCCCTTTGAATACTTGTCTGTAGCAAAGTCCAATAAAACATTGTCCGAATTGTTTGTTAAACCACACATAAGGCAAAGCCAGGTTGAATTTTCAGCATTCATCCTCACACGTATCAGCCAGTTCTTTCAGTTTCTCATTCAAAACAAGCATTGAAGAGGAAAAAAGTCTATTAAAACATTTCTACCCAGGCTAATTCCCCTTTGGGGTGATGGGGTAAGTGAAGGTGTGAAGGCTCCCTGTCAGTGGGGGTTTGTGTGGTGACAGGAGAACATGGTTCAAAGTGGTTTACCTTGATGGTGTCCAGGGGGTGACCAACAACAACGCTGGCAGCTCCTGGGGATGGAAACAAAGCGTTACACAAAACACTGAGGATACTTTTGTGATGGAATGGGAAGCGATGGGTTTATAGGGAGAAGGAGAGATTTCCATAGGAAATGTCCCTTTTTCTCCTGGACATTGCAACCTTGAGGCTGCCTGCGGTCCAGTGCTGTGATGTAAACTGCTGGCTGCTCAGCCCCTGGACGTCCTGTCCCAGTCCCGGGGTGTGCAGCAATAGCATGGGGTCAGCAGGGCAGGGGGAGTGACTGCACTGCCTCCACACGCTGCAGGGATCCAAAAACCAAGCTGCTCACCTAACTTTTTGGCCGAGGCCCTGTGCTTTTAGAGTCAGCTAACCTATTGGCCTGGTCAGGATCCATGGGCCATCTCACACCCCCTTCCTGAGCCTGGTGTGCCTCAGCAGAGCTCTGGTCTGCGATGAACGGTGTGTGATAGAACCTCTGTCATGCTGCTTCTGCAGTGCATCCGTGGCAACTTAGCTGTGCACCTTATCAGCTATTAAACACAGTGGGAACCCTCAGTACTGATGCCTCTACACATCCTCACGCTTCCTTCTCTTTCTGGTGTCTGTTTCCCCGGTATTTGCACTCAGCATTGCCAGCAGACAGGATCAATATCCCTCCCTGGCCATCAGCCTGTTTGCCGAAGCAAGACCGCGGGGTCAAAGCCCTGCAGAACCTTTTCAGGGTAGGGGACTGGGGGACCCAACTTTGCCACTGCGTGCCCCGGAGCTCCCCTTCGGTGCTTCCAGCGGGGGGAGCCGGCAGTGTGCAGTCACAGCCGCATCGCATGTACCGGTACTTCAGTTTTAAGTATCCCGTCCGTGGATATCGCATTAAACTGCACTTGCGAGGCAAAGCAAAGCAAAGCAAAGCGCACATCCGCTGGTGCGAGCGCGCCGGCCCGATGCACAGCTCATGGGTACCACGGGGGTTTACGCTCCCGTTCCCCCTCGCTGCCGTCCTTCCCCCGAGCCCACCGCATCACTTACCGCCCACCCAGCCCGCCGCGAAGTCCTGCAGCTGCACGCTGTCCATGCTGCGCTCCGAGCCCGCCCCGACGGGCGGCGGGTCCCAATCGCCCGGGGGTCCCCACCGAAGAGCGGTCCGCACCGGGCAGGCGGTGACAGCGGACGGGGTCCCGTGTCCCGTCCCGTCCCCCCCCCCCCCTCTCCGGCCCCGAGCCGTGGATCGCACCGAGCCGGCGGTCCCCGTCGGGCACGGGGTGACACCGGACGGGGCGGTCGCACCGCACCGGGGTCCCCGCAGCAGCCCCGCCGGCCGCCGCACGGTGTCTCACGGCCGCCGTGACATCACGCACCGGGGCTTAAAGGCGCCGCGCAGGGGCCGGCGATGGGAGAGACCCGGAGGGACGGGACTGGGACAGGGGGGGCCCGGTCGGGCGTAGGGGGGGACTGGGGTTTATTGTGGGGACGAGGGGGGAGGTGAGCGGGGTCAGAGCAGGGTCCTCTGCACGCTGGGGCTGGTCCCATCGAGGAGCAGGAAGAGCAGCATCCTCCAGGCAACAGGGATGGGGGTTCGGGATGCAGGTGAAGAAAAACAAGGGGGGGGGGCGGGGGTAACCATGCTATAAACTCCTAAATTAAAGATGGCAGCCCAGAGATAAAGAACACAACTTACACAGCCTTATTCAACTGAAAAAAAACATCCCCATTTGCTTCATTGGGATCACACTGCCTCGTCTTTTCAGGAGATATCCCCAATTTCTGTATTATCTTTTCAGAAGATGTCCCCAATTTCTGTATTATCTTTTCAGGAGACACCTCCAGTTTCTGTACTTTGGCCAGTGATGAACAATTGCTCCCTACCCCATTCCTTCTGCAAAGCATTCACAGTTTTCTTACAGCTCTATTACCCATTTCTCCCTCACTCCCATCTTTCCCAGAGTCAAAGCCCAGCTCTGTTTAGTTCACCTTTCATACAAGAGGCTCCTTTTCATCCTCAGTCCTGTTTTAATAAACCTTTGAACAGGGCAGCCAGAACCACAACTGATGGGGAGGAACAGGCCCTGAGCAGCTTAAAGACATTCTCTGTCTTGATCTCAACCCCTTTTCCAGCAATTCTTGACATGCCTTTCTGATTGATGCTGAAGACTGGGCTTGAATGGTAGATACCGGATGTTGAGCCCAGCCTGGCTGTCATGCCCCTGTGTGGCACTTCCCATTAGTAAGAGTCTTACACCTGAGTAGCCACCAGCCACTCAACAGCAGGACATCCCTCTGGTCCCTAACCATGTTCCCAATATCCTTGTGCTCACCAGCTCCATCAGAAAAGTCCTTTTGGACGTCAGGCGCATGCCTTTGCTCTGCAAAACATGCGATTGCCCTTTGCCACTGCACAGATATATCTGTCACACCAGGCTGTGATTTACTATAGCCCAAGGCAAGTTTTGTTCTATGGAGGTCAGATTTCAGCAGACAGCAGTTCCTTTGAGGCTTTCTAAAATGATTGGCATCTGGTTTGCCCAGTTGCCTTTCTGGAATACCAGATTGGGGTTTGCAGGATGTTTTCTGTCTATATATTGGGCTATGGAAAATGTTGATAGTTCATAAACAAAGAATCCTGAATGCCAAAATACTGCCTGGAAATAGAAATGTTTCAGTTTTACTTAAATAATTGACACTTGAATTTCCATTCATAAATGAATATATTCCACAAAAAGACCTTAAGACAATGTCCCTTTATGTGCCTGCACGTACACCCAAGAAACCTTAGCACTGAGCTGGCTGAAGGGAGCTTTTGTCTAGACATTGCTTATAGCAATTTGATATTAGGTGCCTGGTTACCAGCTCAGATCATCTACATCTGAAACTTGAGATCCTTCAATGTACAGAACAATGCACTTTCTCCATGAGGAGGGGTTTCCTCCAACCCCAGGTTTCCAGTGGCACAGAGCAGGTTGCAGGGAGACTGTGGATAAATGCTGGGGACAATGTGTGTGCACAAGCCCTGTGGAAACTTGTCAGTTATATGTACAGTAGTGCAGAAAGGGGATAGTGTCCTCATTTGTCATGCATATTTTCTTGCAAAGCCAAAAGGAAAGCTGGCTGAATGAGGTAATTTTCCAGATAGCAACATTAAACATTAATCCTTTTTAACTGTAACACGTTCCCACTCCAAAATCAGAACATCTGCTAACTCAGGGAGAACGATGGAGATGGTCTTTGTGCGATGCTGCACCAAGAGTTGAAGCCAAATGTTATGGAGACTTTATAGGAAACAACTTCTAGCCTAGAAGAGGAAGGCAGGGAAGTTGGGATGGACACAGAGATGCCCTCGTAGATGTACCTGTGGCCATGTTCACCCCAGCAGCATGCAGGATACTTACAGCTCTTGCCATCGGCTGCAGTTAGCAGTGCCCATGGACCTACAGATTAGTCCATAAGCAGGCAGAGACCTGTGCACATGCTCAGAGTGGTTAACTGAAAGAGGTGAGATTTAGATTAGATGTGTAGAAGAAGTTCTTCCCTGTGGAAGAACCTCTGTATGGAGAGCTGGGAAGGGATCCATCCTTCCTGCTGCTCTGGATTCCAACCTGGGCTTGTAGCCACTCACAACTGCTAGTCAGAGGGAGATTAGTGTGGTTTCTGTTAGGGATGAAGAATCCTCTTTCTCCTGCTAAGAGAGGGAATAGGGAGATTGCCTCATCCTGAACACTCTTGTTCTGCCTCTTCCCCCACCACAAACCCATTGTTTATCACTGTACCACACTCTTTTGACCAGCTTATATTCCTTCCACAGGAGATTCATGATGCTACTGGTGAAAGAGAGGACATTCCCCCCCATCTTACCAGAAGATGTGTATTTACCCCATGTGAGCTCTGCAGTGCAATGACTGAGGCAGACTCAGTAACTTGTGGTAGATTCACATGTAACCACACTGAGAGTTAGACCCAACTCAGCAGGGACAGAATATGTTAGAGATAGAAGGGGTTGATGCATTTCTTCTCCAGCTGCAAAGGATTTCTGGACTAGGATGCATTTCACTGGAAGTACAGCTGATCCAGGGATAAATTCCCTTTACATATTAACCTGTTAATAACATATAATACAGGATACAAGAAAACAGCATTAAACCTCATTGCTGCAGCCAGTCACTGGCCATCAGGGTCTAATGCTTGGTCAAATGCTTTGGGAGCTGAGTCCCATGAGCAGAGGCCAGTAATGTACACAGATACCCTGGAGAAATGTATGAGCAGTGATAAGAGGACAACTTCATGGGCTCCAGTACATCCAGGCAGCAGGAAGAGATGTCAGGGGCCACATAGCAGAAATAGTTATCCCCTCCAGGAGCTACCAAACAGGCTCCTTTATGTGGGCAGCAAAACGTGAGTGCTTGCTCTGCAGGAATGTGCATGGAAGATGGATTAGGGACTGTGAAAACACCAGAAACAGGCATGGAGGCCCCCATTAATGGCTGCAAAGTTCTTCTCTGCCTTCACTGCCCCAGGACCCGAGTGGGTTTTCTGGAGGAACAGTGTCCCGGGAAGAATTAGCCAGTGAAGGGAATCCTCTGGTCTTTTCATAACCCATTTGCTTGTGCTTCTATATAGGGAATCCCTCTGACAAGTCCCATGAGAGCATGACATCTCCAGTCCTGCAGGCAAGACTCCGTGGGTGCAGTTGCATAGTGCTGGAGCAGATCTCCTGGGACAGGCTACCCTCAGCATACAGGGAGCAAAGTGTTTTCCCAGTTACATCCAACATAACACTTCAGACCACATCCTGGCTGAGCACCACCCATCAGTCCAGTCAAGTGTTCCGCAGGCAGCCTCCTAACACCATCCAACACCTTGGCTTAAGGGCCATGAGCAGCCTTCTGTGGTGTACCAAGGTCTTCCTCTGCCGTAGTCTGGAGAGCAGGAGAAGGAGCAGCATCTGGAGCATGGTGAGCTACAGCCATCCAGGCAAGGCTTGGCTGAGATGAGCCAGCTCCGTAGGGACATGCTTGAAGCTGACAGCAGAGCGATGCTGCAAGAGGCGGCTACAGTATGGGAGATCAGGCATTTCCCTCCCTCCTGTCAGGAGAAGACAGCCACCTGTGACTTGTGCTCCCTGCTCCCATCCCCCGGGTTCATTTTCCACACAGCAGCTATTGATAAGGCCCTGAAAGAGCAGGAAGTTTTCCCTGGCAGAGGCCGCTGGGCGGGCAGCGTGTGGTTGTACTGCTAATGAACCTAAGTGGAGCACTGCGCTCAAAGGCATGAGCAAGTTCCCAAGCTTTGCCTGTAGCATCAGCAGCCTCCTGCTCCACTCAGCCCCACCACATCTCATGGTCAAAGGGACACCTTCACCAGCACCACCATTAGGTTGGTTTTATTCTAGGCAGAGAAGAGAAAGAGCTGCCAAAGAGGAGAGCAAGGGACAGGTTGATGCTCAACCAGAGCAGGGTTTAACGGCACAGGCTGTGCTGCATGCGATAGCAATGTGATGGTCATGGGGGAAACACCTGTCCAGATCTCTCTAGGAGATGTTGATTCCTGTGACATGTCAGACCCTCCGCACTCTCACAGAGGGAACAGGAGCAGAAGAAAGAGTGGTTGGGCAGGGAGGAGGTTTTCTCCAAGGTTAGAGACAGGAATGTCTCTGGAGGCTGCAGGTAGGTTGCAAGCTCAGGGAGCTTCATGCTCCATTAGCCAAGCGTCTGCTGCATCCACCCCAAAGTAGTTGCCCTGCCAATAGCTGCAGGGGAGATCTTGCACAGGCTGCCCAAACTCATTCTAAACCTCAAAATACTTCAAATACAACCATCCCATGTTATCCCTCTGAGAGTGACCTCCTGATGGACAAAAGTCCTTGTAAAAATGCCTTTGGAAGTTCACCAGGCTCTCTGTGTTTTCATTTCTTGGACAATGGTTAATGTTTGAAGCAGAAACCCAAGCAATTTTCCTCAGACTCCTGAATGGGAAAATCTGGGCCTCAGCCAGGTTGGGAAAAACCAATAGGAACATGGAAAAAAAAGCTTTGAAAGAGGTGTCCAGCACTAAGAGGTGTTTGCCTGCTGTGGTTGTCCGGGGAAACATCTGGGATAGGGTTTGTCCCTTTGAACTTTGCATTTCCCTTCTGCAGGTGTCTGCCTGAGCTGACCATGTCAGCAGCCTTAGGCATCCAAGATGTGCATTGTGATCCA